CCTGGTTGGAGTTGTTATAGCAGTGGTGGCAGTTGCACGAGGCCGTGCACACCACCTGCATCGCGAAGCACTGGCAGTATCTGCTCTCGCAACAAGCCGAACCCGACGGAAGCGAGCGGTAGAAAAAAAAGCAGCATGCGCACAGACGGAGGCAGGCAAGCTTTCAGCAACGCACACACGCACAGAGACCCCGAAGGCCACACTGCATAGACGTATACAGAGCCGAACACCAGTACTTCGGGGAGTCAGAGCAACAGGACAGTGTCTCCAGGACCGCAAGCAAACACGCAACAAACCAGGAAGAATAGGAAGGGGACGACACCGCCTCCAAACTTTGACGGCCGCAGGCACCGGTCGAGAACACCGACCGTTCGTGGATGCCTCGCTCTCCAAGCAGATAAAAAAGAGGCATCACGCGTACTGTACGCACTCACAGCTTGAGACACTTGGACCTCTTGCAGTTGCACCCATCCGTCGTTGGGGATTCGTGGACGTTGGATGGCTGCCAAAGGAGAAACGAGGGCGTCCAGGTGTTGCTTACGATAGTTTTTATGCCATTGACAACGTTATTAAGGTGAAAACGAAGAGCCTGGTCGGTTCCAACCCACGCGGGGAGGTCATGGAGCGGGACTACGGGAAACAAATCTCTCGAGAAACGCGCGGAGAACCGGTACACAGGACCAAGAAGCCAGTGGCCGGCCCATGGTCAATTTTTTCTTGCACGCATGCCAACATCCCAGCTTGACGGCGTTACATATACCTTGCGTCACTACCAGCCTCGCGTCAGATACTCACAGAAACGTGCGACGTAGCCCACTGAACTTTCAAGAACAGAAAACAAAGAGTCGGTGACAAGAGTCTACCACTGGGCCACTTCATCAATAACGTCGATACACACAAAAAGCTGAAACCGATCCGTAACAACCGGCATCATGACACGGTGGTGTCATGCAACGAGCAAGCCTGGCACGGAGTACAAGAAAAAGCGTGTCACTCTTAATGTACCCCACCCACCGGCACGAGGCGACCACTAGTCGAGGAAACGACCATCCCGCCATCCACAGACCCCTTCGGGCAGATAGGCCTGAGCGCGGCCGAGCCCCCGCCTCCCGCCCCTCCCGCCCCTCCTCCCGCAAGCGCCGCGCTCGCCGCGCGGGAGCTGCTGCGCGTCGGCGCAAGCTGCTGCTGCTTGTGCTGCTGTTGCTGTTGCTGTTGCTGCTGCTGCTGCTGCTGCTGCTGCTGCTGCTGCTGCTGCCGTTGCTGCTGGTGGTGCTGGTGCAGCTGGTGCGAGAGCAGGGAGTTGCTTCTGCCGGCGAAGGAGGACGCCGGCCCCGCCGTTGCCGCCGCCGTCGCCGCCGCCGTCGCCGCCGCGCGAGCCGTCGCCACGCGGGCCAGGTGGCTCGCCCGAGCTGCTTCCGCCTCTCCCGTCGAGTCACCGCCACCGCCAACTTGGTGCTGGAACTCCCCCGAGAGCCCCGGTACGTACATCCCCCGCTCCAGGGCCGCCGCTGCCGCCTCCGCAACTCCGATCTCGCGGCCGCCGCCGCCGCCGCCGTCGCCGGCGACGGGGGGGCTGCCCGTCGGGCTGATGGCATAGCCCGCCGCCGAGGGGTAAGGGGGTGGTGAATGCTCGTTGCGGGGTGGCTGTTGCTGGTTCAGGTTGGCCTGGTGGTGCTGGGCCGAGCTGGGGTAGGGGGCGGCACGTGGCGACGAATCAACCACCGTTGAGGGGATAGCAGCAGAGGTCGAGCCGGGGCCACCGCCGGCGCTGCCGCCGCCACCGCCGGATGCACCCGGCTCCACGGAAACGGCAGCAGGTTTGCCGTTGCTTGGGATCGAGGAGCTCCGGCCAAGGTCTCTCAGCTGCAGGAGGATGTAGGCCGAAGATGTCCGGGACGTACCATCCTCGTGGCTTCCATTCCTGCCGCCTTCAAGCTTGGCATCATCTACCCCGACCGCCGGCGGCATCGGCGACGGTGATGGCGCACGGGGTCGGGGACCCTGTTGTTCGGTGGAAGTGGCACTCGCTGTTTCCGCCGCTGCTGCAGCCGGGAATCCGTTACCCTGGGTCCGTCCGTCGGTAGTCCTGATACTGCTCCGAGGGGCGTCGCCCATAAGCGGGTTTGTCTGTCGCTCACGGCTTGTTGCCGTACCGTTTCGCACCCGCAACAAATCTGGGTCGTTTGCAGCCACGGGAGAATTGCGCCAGGGATGGGAAAAATAGGACCACTACTAGAGTTAGGGGAGGTGGAGCAAGAACCAATGCTGAACGAACTCGAGAAACTATGTACTGTAGCGAAAAAGAGCAAGAAAACGTATGTATCAGCTGCCCCGAGCAAAGAAGGGCAGCTGTCGAGCGCGAGAATGGAGACGCGCTTGACCTGACGTGGAGACATATACCGCTGTAGTACAACGCCAGTGAAACGCATGCTTAGGTCCCCGAGGTGCTCTCTGGCTCCGTAAAAAATTAATCCAACCCACCAGCAAACGCACTTCTCTGTAGCCCCGTCCCCTGGTCCCTTGCCAAATGAAATATATATATATATATCCGTGACAGCAGTACGTACGCGAGAAACGCGAGAGGAGTATCCATCTACCCGGTCACCACTCCGTGGGGTGCTACGTTGCGACTGGCCAAGAAGAGCGCCTGGGGGGGCACCGCATCGATGAAGTAAATTCCTCGGCATTGCTTGTCTCTCATTATTTTCTCCACGGGGTACCCCAACAGCGACTACTGCTGTAAGGTAGGTTTTTAGTGCAGGCTTCTTCGCTAGCACCTGTTCTTGCGCAAAGCTCGTACCTTGTTGTCTTCCAAAAACCCAAAAAATAAGTAAATAAATAACAAGCACCAAAGTATTGCGTCTGCTACTCTTTGAGCGTGAATTTCGACGGTAGTTTACCGACTAAATGATTAGATGGGTTTCTGAAAAGTCTTGACAGCAGTACAGCACTGGTCATGAACAACGACGTTCGCCACGCATAGATGCATACTAGTCAAGTTACATGGATCACGAATGTGTCCTCGTCGCTTTCTAGATCGAGATCGGATACTTCCACTTTTCCGGGCAGCAAATCTATCTGCTTGTGGGATTGTTCCATTTTGCTGGCGGCACTGACTTGTCAATGGCGGTGGAGTGGTTCCTTTCGTCCTTCCTGCAACGAGCTAAAATTCGGTACCCGACGGCTCCCACTAAAAACAAAAAAAAAACACAACAGCACTCCAGACACCTCGACTTGTCGCGGAGGCATGTTACCCAAGGATTCTTCGGGTTCAACGCCTGCCACGGGATGGCTGCTGTCCCATCAACCTTCATATTCGAAACTATTTACGCACCACACACAACTTGTTGCACGGAAAAAGTACGGACCAGAGGTACATAGCAGCAGTGCATGTGAAACGGGTGATATTTGACAACACGGTGCGACTGAAGCTTGGCAGCTTGGAGCCCTCCTCCGCGTATGCCAACTGCTAATACCGCAGACAATTTGCTCATGATCAAACTCTGATGCCGCTGCTGCACTAGGCGAGCATTGCAAATAATCCAACGCAAAGTCTGTGTGCAAGCAACAAAAGTTAAGAGTACCGTCTTGTGCACGACTCCGTTCATCTACGCATGCGACAGAAATTGTTGATACTTGGATGTACTCCGGAGTTCCCGCCGCTCCCCAATGATATACTTCGTATGGTAGATGAGGAAAGGCCTTGGAACGCACTTGTGTTCGTACGTGCCGGCAGCACAGCTCCCCCAGGTCTCGTTGGTACATATCATACTGCATGTGCACACATGCACATGGATCTGGAAAAGGCATCCATTCGAAAACACACGGACGGCCCTTTTTTCCGCCGACTTGAATTTTTAAATGTTTAAAAAAAAATCTGCTGCCGTGTGTGTTCATTGATGAGAGAGCGAGGGAGGGACAGGCCCCACTTGTAGGCGGGGTGAAACGGGCCGACTCAACATCAAACCTCTTGACAGAAGGAAAAGGGTCCAACTCAAGCTGCCAGGCGACCGACCTTCGAGCACTGGGAGGGATTGCTTTCACGGGAACGGAATGGTGCATGGCCACACACACGGCGAAGGCTCTCCTGCTCTCTGCTGGCGAATGCACACACCTACCTCTATTCTGCAAATAACTCGCGCGTGATGCTATGATTTTTCGTTTGCGAAAAAACAACACACCATCCACACTTGAAAACAGAGCGAGCATTGAACGACACGAAGTCAAGTCGTTCACAATAGAAACGGGGAGCAACGCACACGGCACGCGCGCGATTAGCACGCAAGATCGGTGTACAGTACGCACAGACGGAAGTTACGCACTTGTCTTAGACTGGGGAGCCCCGGTCAAAGCTATGTGCGTGCTGGCATTCCCAATTAACCCCTCTCATTTTGAACCTCTGGACTACTGCTGTATGAGTGGGGTGTTGCGGCCGTTTTTCAAGCGTATCGGTCGACGGAGAGAGAGCGGTTCAGAACCGTGATGGAGCAGCAGCAACAACGCACCACGAGCTCTCGCCGGGCAGAGTCCACAAGTGCGTACGCGATGGCCCTTGCTCGCCTCTGCCTCTCCTCTCACCTGGGATTTCGCCCGCCGCGGAAACGAACGCGTGTCCTGACCTCGTCGGCCCGTCGCTCCGGCGCCCAAGAAGATTTGAAAACTCAAACTTGGGAAAGAAGGCAAACTTTGAAAAAGCATAAAACACACGAAGTTGTTTCCGGTGTTTGCTGCACACCTCTCAGCCGAAAACAAGCGCTATCGGGGTAGCTCCCGCCGGAAACGGCCAGGTAGATTAGTATCGATCGCACGCTTGCACCCCTTTGACCCCCCGTCTCTGGTTGAATCGCTTCTGTTTTCGTGCGTGCGGTGTCGGGCCCGCACGAGAGAGATGATGGGACAGAATTTTTTGACGGTGGGGGCCCCGTCGTTTACACGACAGGGTATGCGGTATGCATTCTGCGATCCTCCCGATTGTGGCCGCCATCATACAGGATGCCTCCTGGACGGAGGGGCGTCGAGAAGAGATAGGGTATCACTGCGCGCGCGGCCTGCGGAAGAGGAGAGTGCGCGAGCCCCTCACGACAGCCCGCGCTCCGGTGTACCCTTACTCTTCAACCCTGGGAACCAACGCGCTCGTCTTGACATTCCTTGGTAAGCGTGAGCGGAGAAGAGAATTTTGATCCGAACAATCACCATGGTGTACCCTTTGTCCGCAAAAGGGCGAGGGTCTCCGCACCGGGGGCAACAGAACGGCAACGGGGGCGGAGTCATCCCTCGAGAAAAGGTGTCGCGGTTTGTGTTTTTGTCCACGCTTCTCGTTGTGTACTCGGCTTTCACGCTTGGGTTGATCTTCTGGAACAGCAAGAGTAGCGGCAGGAACCCTTCCGAACCTTCACCCATCGATCAAAGCGGCGGCGGGGGATCGTTCCATCTCGGATCGGAGGCATCAGCAGGAGGAGACAAGGTGGCTTCGTCATTGCTAATACGAGAAGGAAGAAGAGGGGCAGGAGCGGGGGAAACACAAGCGGGGTTTGGCAACGAGGGAAAATCAACGAGGAGACACTCGCCTGCTGGGTCGGCAGGAAGCAACAAGTTGGTCGGGGCGTCGGGTGGGGAGGGCATGATGCATGATGAGAGGCACGGGGGGGGTGGTTTCGGGGCGAGTGGCGTGATGGCACCAAGACCAGGCGAAGCACGCCCAGCCGGTGCACATAAAGTCAGGGTGGAGGATGCGCCGAGCTTTGTGCGGCAGGGTGGGCAGGTGAGAGGACTGGGAACAGGGATAAAAGGTTTGCGTGCTCGTAATGAGAGTCCAAACCCGCTGGATGTCACTGCGCACGAATGGCGGAACAAATCACTCTTACTGTACACGTTCTGCTGTTTGGTCTTGGAAGCCCACGCCGCATGCCTATAGTACCACGACCAAGCTAAGCTTGATGGTACACCGCAGCTGCTGTCAGGGCGACATCGGAGGAGCTTGAGGCGTTGCTGATTCTGTTGCTACCAACGCATGAAAAGTCGGTGTGGTCTACATTGCTGACAATTCTGCACCTGGGAAATACTGTTAAGTGCTTCAACCTTTGTTTACACAAAAGACTGCGGAATGACCGACGGGGAACGTAATGCTGTAACTCGTGAACCAACAAGTCCTTTGAATAGCGCTGAAGGCAAAGACAAGAGACACAAGAGAGGTTGCTTAGGTTGCTCTATAGCTACCACCTCGTACACGCTGAGCAATAGCGGTCATTGCGTGAACTATTTCCACAGGTTGTGTTACCAGAAGTCGCATGCTGCACACACAAGTTCTCGATTTTTCTCTCTCGAAGCTCGGGTTCCCAACAAGTGAGACTTGTATCTGTAAAATCTAAATACAAAAATCCCAACACTTTCGGGAGTAGGGAGAACAAGCGAGTGGGTTCTGTTCGTGGACTTGTACAAGGAGTAGGTCGCACCAGTTGAGATACCCGCACCACTTCTCTACACGTGCTGATGATGTCCTTCATTGGTGATGTTCTACAATGTGGAAGCTATTATGTAAGGAAAAAATTGTACACACACAGAAAGACCCATTCGAGATATACCCACAGCAGTCGAACGGGATGTGGTGGAGTCTTGTTAGTGGGTGATACTATCGAGATGGATGGCTTCAACGAGCCGACAGGGGCTAGATAAACGCGTCATCCAACCGAGCAAGATACAGGGATAGTTGATCCGCCTCGATTTATTTGGAAAGTTGGACGCATCGTATCAACAGCAGCAATATAAATCCAGCAAATTTTCGTTGACCTGCAAATAGAGAAAACTACGGGGGAGATGTCTTGTGGTATTTGTACCTATGCAGCGATTTTGTGATTAGCACCTGCTGGCATCACTGATCAGCAATTTTCAGTTGATAGGCCTACATAGACCCGAAATAAGCCCAGTACCCAGCCGGTTTCCCTCCGTTCACACCAAAGACTCCAACACATCCCGTTCGACTGATTATTCTCGAATGGGTAGTCTTTGTGTTTGTTTTTTTTTTCCTTATAGTGCCCAAGAGTGCCGGCGACAAGAATCCGCTCCTCGTGTCCTTTCGGTGATTTTGACGCACTGTCAACTAATTTATGAATATATCCGAGCGCTCCGTGTGTTGACGGTAGTTAAGTAGATAGGAGCACTACTGACTGACACGTCTGTGACACGACCGAAACACAAGTTTCGTATTTTTATGTACTGCACAAATCCATTTTTGTACTTGAAAATAGTTGTAGGAAATCTCCGGATGGTCGCTTTTCCGACTGCTCCCAAGGCCGTCCAGTCTTCCGCAACCCTCAACAGCTGTCCCTTGCAATGGTGGGGATGACAATATCATCCGTCCCTTCACACACACAATCTCTAGCATATTCTCAACTAGCCTGTGACGTACACATCGATGGACTTATTCGTCGAGGTGGGCCACAGCGCTGGAGTTCTGATTCCGAGTTTCTCTTAGAGTTAGAGTCGTTCCCACTACGAGCTTGCTTTCAACGAAGTTGGAGGTAAACTGCATAGCACGACTGCGCTTCAGTAGTATTGCCCCGATTCAGATCACAAGTTGGGCAAACGACAATACGGTGGTATACATATGAAACGGCGTACACAAGGGAAGAAAACACGCTGATGGTCCGAGACCGTTTCAGGCGCGCCAGGCAGAGAGTTCCGCGACCGGGTTCTTGAGTCGGCTTTCACCGTTTTCTGTCACACAAACCGATACGACCGAACGGCATCGCAACCAAGGGTTATCTCAACACCGTCCGATTTGCATGGAGAACGTGACACAACAGCAGTGAACACAGAGGCGTGTGCATCCATCGCGTGCGAATAACTAATCATGCTCTAGTGAGCCTTGCACCCAACGTTACTGTTGTGTGGGTTACTTGCATGATTTTCGGCGGATTTCGTTCAGATCGCCACGGGTGTCGCACACTTATGATACTCGGTGCTACAGAGTATGTTGGACCGTTCCGCGAAGTAAACCGCTCATCTCCGTCAGGACGTTGTTGCCCTCGAGCAAACCGCTCCGCGGAAAGGGCGCTTCTCGAATGATTCATTTTTTGCGCACCCTCCGGATCTCAAACGGCGTAACTACACACACGCGTAGTGCACCGCAGCTTTTGCATCAACCAGCAACCTTTGATGCTCCCGAACCGAGGCTCTCTCTGTCTCTCTATCTCTCTATCTCCCTCTTTTGTCTATCTCTCTCTGCCTCTCTCATTTTCCTCTCTCGGGGCACAGAGAGGGAAGGTCCCTCAAGCTGATTGTTTGGGCCTCTCGCCACGCCCGCGTGAACGCCCGCAATAGCAACAACAACGTCTGTTCTCTGTCTTGGAAGCTGTAGGAGGCACTCCCCCCCCCCCCCCCCCCCCCCCCCCCCCCCCCCCCCCCCCCCCCCCCCCCCCCCCCCCCCCCCCCCCCCCCCC